TTTTTTTTTAATATTATTTTAAATTTTAAAAAATTAATTACATGTTAATTTATAAATAAACAATCATATTACTTATACCTATATGCGTATACAAATTATTTGTCGGAAACATTAGTGAAATTGTTGTGTGTAGACTGCAGCAATCAAACTATACATCCTGAAGAATAAACCATTTATTCTTTAGTGGTCAATTATTGTATCACATATTCACATGATAGAGTATGGAAATAATCGAAATTTTCTAGAAATTATCAAATTGAGCGAATACAAAAATAATGCACGTACATAAACGTGTAAGTACTCATATATAAACTTTAAATACTCGTCTAAATGTTTAACCATTGGTGACATTCTATGGCTAATTTACATTAACGTACACACACAAATAAAATCAATATATTGATTGTTATAAGTAATACGTACAATTTTCTGACGAAGACGTTTTGATGATTTTTATCATCGATATGTGCATTGAATCTCTTCTAAAATGTAATAAGTAAGTCAGATAAATTATCTTAAATATCCAAAATAATTATCAATGAATATATTAACACATATTGAAGGTTAAATATATTCATTCAAACAAGTATATGATGAAAATATAAATTTAATATAATAAGATTTAAATACTCGTGTATATAATACTGCATGAATATTTTTTGTTCAAACTATATTGAAAGCAAAATTTTAATAAATTTCTATTAAATGTCTATACTACTTATTTAAAATGCATCATACATCATTTTTATTATTATTATTAAAATTGAATACGTTTTATATTTATTGAGTTGTTAAAATGTATTTTACGTCCCGTGTAATTATATTAAATACACTTGAATAAGTGTATGACTATATAATTCAATTTGTGATGTACAAAACATCAATGTCAACTTATTATCTACTACGTTATTATTATTATTATTATTCAAGTCAAGAAGAAATATAGGAATAGCAAATATCCACAAAAACTTTATTATTAAATATTAATTACCTAGCAGTTGTCTCGTTTGCACAACAGAAGTCACAGCAATACTAAAATAGTGGAATACTTAAATAGCCAAGTAAATAAGCATTAAATAACACCATCATCATGAATTTACTGACAAACACTGAAAGGCTTAGAAAATACTGCAGACGTTGCAAAAGTAATGTAATAAAAACAAAACAAACACAAAACAAAGGAATAAATTAACATTTATTTGAACACCAGGCTTCAGAAATATAGAAAAACTATATTACAAAAATAAAATAAAATGCGTACCAAGAAGCTAAAGCAGGACAACGAAACTAATAAACACATCACTTCTATAGAAAAACTAATACAGACATACAATTCATATTCAAAACAAAATGTAAGTTAAATGACAAATACAACCAAATGAATAAATCTAAGCTAAAGGAAATCAAAAACACAATACGTGAAACGCGAAATACTGAATATACAAAGAATTGGATACTTAAGAATAGCATACTGTCTAATTATGACAAAAAAAATAAAAAAAAAAAATTCACCGACATATTAAGCATGTGGAGAATAACCAGATGATCATATACATACTTGGAGAATATTTTGTGTATGTAAAAATATACACGAGTATGTATGGTATCTCAGAAAGAGTATGCACAACAATTACTAACGCTATGAGGCGTTGGGACTGAATCCAAAAAAATATTTTAATATTTTAATATTCTGAAATAAAAAACAAAAATGTAAATAAAAACTAATGGCCTATGAGAGCAAAATTTTTTTTAGTTCAATATAATATAGTTAGTGAGTATAATATATTATTATAATCATAGAAATATAAGAAAAAACTAGATAGCGGACGACACGATATTATTGAAATCAGTTGATATAATATACCCACAAGCAATATTTAAAATATTGCACGTATCATATTATATTGCTTATTTTTTATTTATATCTTATCAATCAAGATATACAGTAAACATTACGTTTTTGGCATATGACCATACGACTTCAACGTCCCATCGAAAATGTAATAGACAGTCAGCTGTCTAACTCTGTTTAATATTATACAATATAAGTGGTGCCTACAAGTAGATTAGAAAAATATAGCGTTCCCTCTAGTTAATATAATTTATTAAATAAACTCAAATAAATATATATGATAATAATAATAATAATAATGATGTGCGATTAAAAACGATGTTGTTCAACCATAACTTGGGTGTAAGATGTTCGATGATATTATACCTATTGTTCTTAGTTGTTAATTTTAAAAACGTTTTTATAATAATATTAAAAGTCGGTTTAGTTGAATATTTATTTTATTTTTTTTTTTAATTGTATACAAATTATTTATATTTTACAATTATATTATTTTTAGTCGAATACCAATGTAGAGCGTTCCACTGCTCCTATTAGAACAATTATCTAAGGGTTAACATAAAATACGTAATACCTCGATATAAGTCGTGTAATATATCAAAATAATTAAGTAATGTCCAATGGTAAGACTTATTATAAGGTTTTTTTTTTTTTTTTTTTTTTAAATATTTATTTATCATTTGACTTATTTTGTGAATTACTATATTACTCCCACTCCAATAATGCGCATTATATTGACATAATTTAAGACGAATTAATGAACTACTCGAATGTTATGAATAATTTGTTAGATTCGTGTATGCATCAATAGGAATGCTAAAAAAAACTTTTATTGATTTCGGCTTACAAATAGTTTACCGACCGAATAAAATTTAATTTCATGTCGTCAATGTGATTATATTAATATTCGATACTCTTGCCCATCGAATTGAACAAAAACTATATAGCCCCGCGCCGCCGGTCTGTGTATTTTATATTTTATTTGTTTAACGTCCGAAATGGTTGATTTTTTTTTTCACCCAAATAATATTGAAAACCACACGACGTATTAATAAATGATCGGATGGGCGGTAGTGGTTCACATAATATATTATACACAATGATATGCGTTTTACACGAGTACAAATATTAATTCGTTTCGGGCGAGCAGTATTTCGGTCGTTATAACGTTTCGCTCGACGCTACGCGTATACAAGAGAACGCGCTAATTTATAACGCAGTCGCCCTGTGGAACGGGTGTGCACGGGAGGACGAAAAGGAATTAATTATAAAAATCTCGTCAAATATTTCAGGATTAGTTTTACTTATGCTGTCATCTATTTCTCTTTGTAGACATTTTCTTAAAGACCATCAAGCCGATTACCTTCGCCACCCACCTACTGCTCAACGGTGTTTTTCACCCCCATGGCTTGTGTGCAGCATCAACATAGTCATTATAATTTTAATACATACCTACATAAATTATTATAGATAGATATTCATAATTGTAAGTTGAACTAACCTAATTGGTACAGTTGTTCTTGTGCACACTTAATGTAAACATTTCATTAGACTTTTCATGTTTAAAAATTCTCAGTTGAACATACACGTAAATAGCTTGATATATGGAGGACAAGTTTCATTTTTTCCAAAAGATTAACTCACGTTAACCAAAAAAAAAAAAAAAAAAAACAATAACAATATAATATTTTATATTTTCTAATTTTTCTCAAACTATTATCAACTGCTTACAATCAAAAAACGCCATCGATTAGCACGCTGTTATTAGCAGTTGTAATGACGTCCATTAACTAACGTCACACATTTTCCCTTTGTACGCAACATCTTTTCTACAGCCTTAACCTACACGTTTGTTGCGTTATTTTGAAGCAACTAAACAATAATAATAATAATATTATTCTATAGATTTTTTTATTTTTTTCTTTGATATTTAACACTATTTAACGCGGCCAACTATAATGATATTATGACATAATGAATATATTTTATCTTATGTCGATGTTCATTTTGAGCAGTTTAAGCTTCACTGATTGTTAAAAATATTTGTACGAAGTTAAAGCGTGATCAATCTTTGGTAGCCTCGTTAAAACTATCTTTCCGTTGGCTGTCAGTGATTAATTATTATGTGAACGAAGAAACCAATCTCCGATTTTTAACTAATACGATACCTTTATTATGAGGCCCCGTCAACGTCACTCACGAAAAGTGTTCCCCCTAAACAAGCGTTCATTCTAGTATTGAAACTACGCCTTACGCGTTTAATTTTTACGTGTAAATATTCTAATTGTAGATGCTTGTGGGACGTCGATGCAAGTCGATCATAAAAAAATATTTTTTCAATGATTGTAGATAATAAATTGCTTCATAGACACAAAATACAGAACCAGAAATTAATATAATATATATATATATATATATATATATATATATATTTATATTTCATTTGTTATAATGAATTTTTTTGTTAATTTAATTACAATTTTAACTCGTAATTAAGCCAAATAAAATACCTATTTGATTAATACAGTTACTTTAACAATAGAAAAAAGGTTTTTCTAGTTGTATACATATAAGAGAAACATTAAATATATATAAATGGTGTCATTACAAATATTAATTAAAAATATCTATTATTTATTATATTAAAGATTAACTTTAGGGAAAGTAAAAAAAAAAAAAAAAAAAAAAAAAAAATGAGAAAAATTTCACTATTTATTTATTAAAAACATTAGTGAAAAATATTTATTATTTAACATTATTATTATTCATAGATAAAATAAACACACTATTGGTATACTGTGCAATCTATATAAACAACACAACTTGTATAATATAATCGACTTTAAACAACTAAAAGTTTAATGGAAACAACTGCTAATTACTACACATTTTGAGAATTGAATTGGTTATCACTTATCAAATTGTGATATCTATTGATATTCATTATGATCTAGTTATAAATTATAGTGTTTTAAGTGTTTTTAATCATCGTATAAAACCAATAAAATGTGCCAATTATAAATATATTATTTAAAAAATTATATTATAGGTATTTTTTTATTGAAGAATCAAATGTTTAAAATAATAATCATATTATACTAATAAATAAAACTAAGAATTATACCTATCTTTCAAAAAAGTTGAAATATGTATGAATTTTGATTAAAAATGATTGCATTAACTATTAATTTTAATATTATAAACTATTTTCTGTTCGATATTTTTGAGTTAGCGGTAGTAACAGTTACAGTACTACCATACTGTTCTGTATCCCATTTTGTCACCTGAAAAAAAGACAAAGTATAAAATCAAATAAAAATCTCTATTATTAAGATTTAAAGTAGTATTTATTTTATATTTATTTTTACGTTAGTGGAAGTTCAAAAAATAAAAAGTGTTATTTATATAACAGTTATAACACAATGTTATTGTCATACAGCAGAATGACATAACGGTAGGAAATGTGTGACACGTGAATCACTCAGTTATATGGGACACACGTGGTATCACAATTTTAAATTTTGAACAAAGTTATACATTTATTGATTTTACAATCATGTGTGTTTTATTTTTGTTTTGTTTTTGTATCTATCATCAGATTTTGGAATATTAAAAATACTTAAACATCTTCAACTTCAATATTTCTTTTAGTAGGAAAGTAAATCTAATTAATACTTAAGTAGGTCAAAAGTAAAATTATCTGTATTTTACTTAATTATTTGGGGGGGGAATGAAGAACAATCAGGAATTTTTACGTATAACTATAGTTTTTGACTAATTTTTTTATTTTAATATAATTCAAAAAATAATAACCGTATAAAGATAATTTACATTTTTACTTAATATTAACATTAGTATTTTTTAAACATGATCTTTGAATCTTTTTAAGCTATTTATAGAAAATTGATGTTTTCAAGTTACTATGAAACTTGCATATCTATTAACAGTATATTACATATAAAAATCATATTTAAAAAATACTTATATTAATTTTAACTTTTAAGCCGGTCTTATTTATATTATGAGCCTATTTTAATTTTTCTATGTAAATGAGTTATTGACTCAAATGTTAATAACAATAAAATAAAATGGTATACAATATAAATATATATATACTTTTATAATAAATAAAATGTATACCGTGTTTTATGAGTACGGTAAATTGAGAAGAAATAAAGTTTATGTACATTAGAAAAAAAACTATACGTAATGCTAAGTGCAAAAAAAAAAAAGAACAATGCATCGTATTTCACAGTGGATTTTCATGTAGCTAAAGGTCATATATTACTCGGATTTCAAATAAAACTCCACTTACAATTACTCAGCTAACTGATATTTTTATTTTTAGTACATTTTATCACTTGATACCACATGAGGCAAGTATTCATTAATGTTCAATTATTTTACTAGATTTTCAGAAAAAAAAATGCTTATCTTAATAAAATATGTTCATAGAGATTCATCTTATCATATTAATAGTATTATTAAATTGTTTATTAATATATTTAATGTATTTAATTAATCAATCTAAATGCTGGTTGTCGCTAATCAATAAATTGATCCACCATTTTAATCAAATAAAAAAAAAAGAAAAGAAAAAAGAAAAATGATTACAGAAGATATCAATTTAATTGAAAATACATAAAAAATCCCAAGACTTCAAAAGTAATGATGTTAAATAAAATTTTTACATGATCTAAATCATAATTCTTATACAATGTAGCTCTCATTGAATCATTTCAAAGCATTAATTTCAATAATTATAAATTCTTCATATTATTATAAGCTTTGAATGACCAACTTGCGGTTCGCTTTTTTTTGAATCAAAATGTATTTATTAAAATTACTATAAATTTTAATTTTTTATATATAATATATTTATATAAAATGCATCTATAGAAATTTTGGGTCTTGGTGTCATTGTATTTATTCATATAGCCTGCAAACCTATTCATATTGGCCACACCTGCTTTAAACTGTCAAATCGTTCGTATTTGTTTCAAAAACAAATAAATAATATTGTTATAAAATCGGTGTATAATGACAACACAATAAATACGTGTTTTAAATTTTATTAGCGTTTACATCCTCATTATGTTTCTTATTCGTTCACCCTTCCAACTAGCTAAACCTTGATAGTTATTTTATACTACTCTTTTCTAAGATTAAAGAATAAATGTTTTTTTTTTTTTTTTTAATTGTGTCTAATGTTTTCATGTGACTCATAAAAACTACAGATAAATAGGGAAGGCATTAATTTTGTACGTATAATATAACATTAAAACTTGTATTTCTAAACCAAAAAATACTTGACAACTTACAATAGATTTTATTTATACACAAATTATCTAGTAAAGGTATAAATCTACAAGTAATTTATTTATTTAGTTTCGGCGTAAAATAAAATATGTACAATAACGTAACAGCACATCATCAATCTATTTTTGTGTTAAATTAATTACGTCATATTTAATGATGAAATAAATATTTTTTTATGTTTTATACATCAGATATCATTAAAATAGTGGGCTATAAATAAACAATTTAATTTTTGTATTTATATTTTAATGATAAATTAAATAAGGTATTCATTAATTTTCGTTTTATTTATTTATTTTTTTTTAATTTTGTCTTTACTTTATATTTTGGATAAACATAATACATATTGAATTAAGATGACTCCCGAAAAATTCCTGATAAAATAGCCTTTTAAAATATTGGTTATTGATCTTTTCTATGCATCATGCTATAGAACATAACATCAATTTACGCTTAGATATTATTCTATATTTAGAATATAATAATTACGAATTTTGATTAAAAAAAATATATATAAATAATATAAGGGACGATATCGAATCTTACTAAAATAATAAAATAATATAATATTGTATAGCTTATTAATAAAATATCATAACTGTTTATAGTTATATACATTTTCAAATAAATATATTTGTTCTTTATTAAATAAATCGATTAAAATAAATATAAATAAAAAAAAAACTTTGTTCTTATGGCTTGAACTAAAATTTTTTAGCTTCATAATCAACTCTTATATTTACTATTTATATGTTAATTTTACTGATTTTTCAATATTAGATTAACAATGTTTAATAATAATGTCCATTTACACATAATAATAATATATGATTGAACGCAAATATACGAATTACCGAAATAAACATATACATTTATGTTTATATATACGTGCAGGTTGCTTTAATAAATATTTATCAACATTTTTGGGAGAACGGTATTATCAGGAAATAAGACAGAGGTTGTAATTTATTCAAATATTATAATAACTGGTAATTACAATAATAGTATGCAAATTTTCATTTCCTTGTTAAATTATTGAAACGTTTTACGATTTATAATTGAAAAAAAAAAATAATAGTTTATCTATTAAATTTGGTCTTTTGCTTGATTAAACAAAAGCTAAAAATTTAAAACTTTCTTATAATTTAAATATATTGTTTTAAGTTAACCCGGGTCAATTTTTCTTATCTTCCAAGAAGTTAAAATTATATGTATTATAAATACAATTATCATAAAAAAAAACCAGATACATCATTATAACATGAAAAACAATAAATATATTATATAATGTATTTTTACATGCTATTTCACGGTAAAATTGTATTTATAATTTATCTGATAAGTTAAATAAATGCAAACGTGTATCTATTATCTATTCATGGAAAAAATAATGAGAATTTTAAATTTTTACAATTATTCAATTTTATGTTAAATTGCAAAAGCACAATAAGATTATTTTTTTTACTGATTAGAATAAAATAAAAATAAATATATTTCACTATAGAGTATAGTTGCACTAATCGATTGTATTTTATCGAATAGAAACAAATAATTATTAATGACTATATCATTGTTATTGAAGTGTTTTATGAGGAAAAACCATATAATTGAACATTAGGAAAAATAATTTTGTATCCGGTGTTTCTTAATTGTGGACAAAGTGACAAAAACCATGGGAATTGCGGACAACATCTAAAAAGGTAACATACAAATTTCGGAAATAAATATAACATACTATAATTGCGGACAATTTTCCAATTATTATTTTTGATATAACAACCGTGGACGCTGGGAAATTAATGTTTGATATTGGCGATATTGAGACAGCTATCAAAAAATATGTTTGATCAGTTTAACCACAACCTTACTCGTGCTTACTTAATATCTTTCGTCTATTTTCTGTATAAAAATGTATAGTGAAAAACTTAATTTTCTTCTATTTCACAAACCGTAAATGCTTGTGAAAGTGTTCGTGCTAACCTTAATGGAATGTTTTACCGCAGTCACCCTATCATATACCAATTAATCGACACCTTAAATGAAGTACAGATTGGTAGCTATACGAAAATGAATTGTATCTACTGTTGTACGAAATTTAAAACGAAAAAAAAAAATTGTCAAAAAGAGACATTTATCGGCAAACAAATGTTGCAATATTCAAGTGGTGAAATCAGTAGAGTATCATTTATACAGACTGTTTCAAAAAAAAAGTTGTCTAAATCCTGAAAAAGTGGTAAACTTACATGATTTTTATTAAAAAAAAATCTGTATGCAATTAATATTATGACAATGAAATTCGTATTCAGAATTGTTATGTTATAATATTGACCTGAGTAATTTGTCCACAACTACTGACTAGTATGTGTCCTTTGTATCGGTATACTGCATAATTATTAATATACGTGTTCAAATTCAAGTCTAGAATCGGACCCAAAATATTTAGTAATTAAACAATTCTCAGTTTGTTTTACATTAGCACACACCATGATAAGGTTAAAAAAATATTAACATTTCTACAATGTATTTGATTCTGTAGTATTCTACTAAATATCGTTATAGTAAACTATTGTTGTTCAAAACTACAGAATAGTATCCTTAATCCGTATAAACTGTACAATATTTTATTTAATTCTCAGAATAATAATTCAAAAACTATGTATTCGTTTAATTTTAATAATTTATAGAAATCAATATATTTTTACTTAAATCAGCTGACTATAAATTCATAACAATGATCAAATTTTTATGTATCCACGTGACATGTTCTAAATAAAGGAAATAATCAAAACATATTGATAAGCATAGTAGAACAATAGAATAAAATATTACAACTATAAATATACATACTAGATATTAGTACGGCGAGACGTTTATACGACGTAAACATGCTTAAAAAGACGCAACACATTCATGAATAATAAGTTAATAATTGTTTCGTGTTGGTTATAATTAAAGACCGGATTTTGCATATAACGCATGTTCATATTTTTATAAGCAATTACATGCAGTAAATGGGTTTTCATTAATCATACTTAAATAAATAATATTACAAATTTTTATTTTGCATATTTTTGCATATTTTGGGTTCAAGTACATATTTTATATAAAAACGCATGTTTTTGCAAAATACATATACACTAGGTATAAATTTAATTTTATAATTGTATGTACAATTATTATATATACATTTTTCCACAATACAAAAATTGAAAATATTTTTAAAAATATAATATTTCGTTTTCGTATTAGTTGGTAGGTAGGTAGATATTCACTATTCATTGCATACTGGTTTTCCTATCGTATATTTTTATCTTATCGATTTTGTCTAACATTATCGACTTATCGTCAATACTACAGAACACAAACTAATAGACTGACGACTGTAGTTCGAAGCGTACATTCGGCAATAATCAACGACCAACATATTATAAAAACATGTACATTTTGTATAACATTGTATAACATTGTTTGATTTTGTTATTTTATAATGCCTAAGTGTCCAAGTTCAAAATGACCATCACTTAGAAAATGAATTGAACGTATAACAAACCAGGCGAGGTTTTAAAAATCTTAAATAATAATTCAGTTTTTTGTCAATATTGTAATAAAGTAATTATTGTAGTAAAAAAAAAAATTCAAATTGATTAGCACGTTAAGTCATTTTCACACGAAAAATATTCGAAAACTCCCACTTCTAAACAAACATTTGTTAATCAACAGTCAACATTAGATGAAAATCAATCAGTATTTTTTTAAGACCTTGTTCAGCTTTGATTGCTTCTAACATATCACTGCATAAATTACAAAATACCAATTTCACATATTTTTTGAAAAAATATACTTATCTACATATATATGATGAAAGTACTTAGGAAGAATTATGTAATCAAATGTTACACAGACGTTTAAAAAAAAAAAAAAAATACGAGAAAATATAGAAAGTTCATTCATATATTTTTGTATCGATGAAACTATTGACCCACGAGGCAAATATATTGCAAGCTTTATTGCTGGAAAATTAAATTTTAATTCACCATCAAAATCGTATCTTTTAGCATCTAAAGTTCTTGAAAAAACAAATAATAATACCATAGCAAAATTTATAAATGATTGTCTTAGAGTGTTATGGCCAAGGGATGTAACGACGAAAAAGTTTTATTAATGTTATCTGATGCAGCCCCATATATGGTTAAGGCTGCTAACAATTTAAAACTATTTTATTCAAATCTTATTCACGTGACTTGTGCTGCTTATGGGATTCATCAGATCGCAGAAAAAATTATGGATATTTTTCATGAAATAAACGATTTAATTAACAACGGAAAGAAGATATTTATGAAAGCTCCTAATAGAATTTAATTATATCATGAAATGTTACCTAATACACCATTACCACCTCAACCTATAATAACACGATGGGGAGCTTGGTTACAATCGGCAATATTTTATGCAGATAATTTCGAACCTTTTAAAAATGTTATTCAAAACCTACAAGAAGATAGTGTCAAAAGCATTAAAAACTGTAAACAAATTCTAACTAAATCAAATATAATTAACGATTTAACTTATATTAAAACAAATTTTTCGATTATTGTTGAAAGCATTAAAAAGCTTGAAACTTCAGATTTGTTACTCGTAGATGCCTTATACATTTTTGAACAAGTTACGAATTCTATTATTAATCTTTCTAAAAATAAAAATAGCGTAGGTTATTGATAAAAAAAAAAAATGTTCCGAAATTATTAATAAAAATAAAGGCTTGCTAATTTTAAAAGAAGTTGGTAAAATACACCAAGGTGAGACTGTTATAGACTTGAAGAGTTCCGCTATCAAACATTTTTCCCCGGAAATGTTGTTGAGTTTTAAATATGCGCCCATAATAAGCGTTGATGTAGAACGAAGTTTTTCTGCATACAAACATATTCTCACAAACCGCCGTCATAATTTAACCGAGTTCAATATGGAATATATTATTGTTACTTATTATTTTTCTAATATCGAATAAATTGTATATTTTTTTTTCATTTTAATTCATTTTTATCATCATTATATAATATAATATTGTAGTTTATTTATTTTTTCATAATTTATATTTTGATCTTATAACTTTATAATAAATAAATAGCTGTATAATCAAAAATTATTCTGCATGTTTTGCATTTTTTACTTGCATATTTTGACTTTTTTGAATGCATTTACAATTAAAAATGCAAATAAATCCGGTCTCTAGTTATAATTATTGTTAAGAAATCAAACTTTTGCCGTAAACCGAAGAGATCTTAACTTCAACTGTAAAATATCGTAATTATTCTTTCATTAATTAAAAAAAAAAGTATATAAATGTAAACAGTATTGTACTGTCAAAGTTATTCTAATTGTATGATTAATTCTTAATTTCTGGTCTTTTGAGTTCTTTTTACGTGAAACCATTTTTTTTTTTTTTTTTTTACATGATATCTTAAGTGGGTTTACGTTAACTATCAATAAGGTACTAAAGCAGAATCACTTTTAAAATACTTTGAATTATTTTTCAAATTTAAAATAATAAATATAATATAATTAAGTCGTATTATGAAAACGTTAAAACCAAAAAAACTATATTATTATGTTATGGCTTCGAAAAAGTCATATACTAATAAACAATGTTGTGAGTACTTCAAAATATAATTTAAAATACGATTTTTCGTTTTAATTTTCTTACAGTAAAATAAATTTTGGCCTACTATATTGTTATACAATATATTATATTATATTTCATGGTAGTACGGTAGTAGTGAGTACGCGAGTATCTAGCGTATTATTACATGCATATTGCATACGTACATTTAGTCAAGTCATAACGGCGGGAAACATAACAAGTGAGACTGTGCAGAGGCAAACTTACCAAGATTTTATTGATGTAGAGTTCGTACGGTATGACCATGCCACCGGTGGCCGTTTCTACGGCAGCAGCGGACATCATTTCCTCTAGTTCTTCGTCTTCGAACGGTTCTCCGTCATGTCGAAGCGCCGATTCCATGCACTCGCGGCTTATGGTGCCGGTCCGTTCAGGATCCAATGCACGAAACGCGCTAAGTAATTCGGATGCCGACGCCGGCTGATACCTGGTGTAAGACAATGTCACAATGACGTGTATTCACGATAGATAAATAACGTCGAAGTACGGTTTGAAGTGGTATGTATACCAGAGACCTAGTATGTTTTGGTTTTCCTTTTTTTTTTTTTTTTTTTTATGTTTTGATTTTCAAATATTTTTTCTTATTCTAGTTTTGGATTTGATTTTTTTTTTAAATACTCTAAATCAATAGTTGAATGCCGGACTTCTGCGGGAGAGAAAAAAAACATATTTTTACGGAGGAAGATATTTTGATTGATCGTGCCGGTGTCATTTGAGCGCGGTGTTCCTTTGTGTCCCAAAGATAATGATAGATCATTTTTAATGTCACAATCTGTTATTTAAGATACATTTCGTTTTTCATATGTTTTTATAAAAAATACAAACTGAGTTTTTTTTCTTTTTTAGGACGAGTATCAATATCAATCAAATAAAAGAACAATAATTTTACTAGATATACATTTGTAGAAGTCTGACAGTTACTAACATATATTTTAAAAACATCAATTTATTTGATCCAATACTGATTGTCTAGAGTGTCTAGACCAACAAGAAATTAAATCAAACACTAAAACTAAATTCATTTGGAAGTACTATATTATTATATAAATACATTTAAGTTTTCTGTAAATGTAATTAAAATTAAAATAAATTATACGTAAAAAGACCAAAACCAGACAAATAAACGAAAACAATTTTTTTTCAGCTTGAAAATAAAAAACATCAATTATTCCACATTCTAGTATAGGTACCGAATTAAAGTTGCAGAATCTTGAAAAAAAAAAAATTATATCAAGCAATATAATTCAACGAATTATATTGACTAGTCATTTTTCGGTATTTTTCGATTTAAATATCCCAATAGATACTTCCCAACGGCAATCTCTTTTTATTCTATTCTATTCTAAGTGTTACCTAATCCTCAAATAATGCTTAAATATCATTCTAAATTATTAAATTGAATTTCAAACATTAAAAATATTAAAATAAATTTGTGTATTTTTGTATTATATTGCATGCACGTAAAATATTAATAGGTAACGAATCTGTCTTACTTGTATTCGCTAATGGCATTTTCAACATACGGTAAAAATTCAGCCAAATGTACGGTACCAGTTGCTTCGTGATCTTCAACGTTAACCGCAAGTTCCCTCAGATCGGCCTGTGACGGTACGTAACCTATAATTATTTTTATAAATACCATAATATTTTTGAATCTATTGAACATTTTATTAAACCAATAAAATTATGTATTATCGTTGATTTTACGTAGCATAATAATTATTATTTATTTATTATTTCTTACACAGTTCCTACGAAATTTTTCTCACACAGCGATTAATCGCTAAAATATAATATAAAGTAGTTATAGTTATGAATATAAATGTTAATAGGTATTTTGTATAATAAATAGTTTTTATTTTTTATAGTTTATAGTATTATATTACCCTATAGTCCAATCAGCGTCCCAAATTCGTATCAATGACTGCGCATACATTTTATGGTATAGATTACTTAGACCAATATTAAATCTATATCATCCATAGTTTACATTCTACATACGTGTAGAATGAACCATAAGTCTTACATCAGTCAATAAAAGTTAAGGGTTTAACGTGTATACTAAGAGCTTAACATTGTTATTTCTGTAAGTCCTTATAAATTGTCTCAATTTCAAACTTTTAACTAAACATGTCAGCCAACAATATTTATGAAAAGTATCTGAATTAACTATAACATGTATTAACCTAAAATTAATATGAATAATTTGTTTATTATATTAATATCGATTTATTATTAGTATATATTTTTCTATGCTTCTATATTTTCAAATATTATTTAATACCTTTCATTATAAACAATGAAATATTTAAATACACAACAACAATTTTGACAAAATAGTATAGGATAATAATATTATACGCTTGAGTAAGTAATTATTTGTTGTTAATCTTAAATTTTGAGCAAATTCAGATAAATTGTTCTACTAGCAATTTGAAAATATTGAAAATAAATAAGCACAATATGTTTGAGCTTTTAAATTTAAAATTTGATAAAACCAAGAGAAGTGTGTCAAATGTTATCAAACTATTCTTACATCATCTAAAGTGCTCAGTTTTTTCTTTTTTTAAATAGAAAGAAAAAAATCAACAAAAAACAGCAAAAAATACGGAAATATTTAAACACCTCAGTTTTTAACATCGTCAATTTTTTTTTTTTTTTTTTATTGTTAGTCAAGAAGAAATAAACGCAGTTCCTTGACATTTTGATACGAATTCTTTTAATTAAAATTTTTTACATATATTATAATTTTAAAAATTGGTACTTTTAATTTAATTATTATATACAATTAAAATTGTTCATTTTTTAATTTTTTTTTTCTTTAAATTTTGTTGATTTTATTTTAGTACAAATATATTATGTTAAAAATATTTTTTGTACTTTTTTTATTATTTTAATTGTTTATCAATACTGATTTCTTTAAATCTGCATTGGTTTTTTACTTTATAAAAATTAAATTGAACAACACCTAAACTAACTATCAAATATACCTACAAATTAAATTTTTATAAATTGAAATCCTTAATAAAATATTCTTCTTCGAAATTTAAAATAAAAAATTAACATTATTATTTTTTTAAATAAAAACAACTTAAAAATGTAACAATAGAAAATATAATATAAATACATTTGTTATATACACCTATAGTTAATGTGAAAAAAATGTTTATTGTCAAATAACTACCGTGTAAACTATGTACAGTATTTTTTACTATTTTATCAGAAATATCTATATCTATATCTTTCTTTCTCTCACTGTCTCTTTCTATCTCTGGAATCTTTCAATCGAATTCTAGTATATAATATGTATCTACCTAAGTAACGGAGCACTGTTCCCAGTTCGCGTACGTCAATGGTCCTATTGCCACTATGGTCGAATATGTCAAAAGCATCAGCTATGGCTGCAGCTGTGCAAGTTGACGTCGATGACGACAATGCTACGGTGGCCGCTTGTGAACTTACTCCTGCAGCGATGGAGGTGTTCGGTTGTACCGACGAAGACGTTACAACCGAAGTGGTCGTCGTCGCATTCGAAGTCGTGATTGTAAACGTCGTTACCGTTGTGTCAGTCATATTTTACTGTCGTATACGAACAACTACAACATATTCCGACCATTCTGAACATGACAGGTGTGTGCTACGACGACCTAGTTACTGATTTATCGATTAAACACCACGAAACTCTGTCGCAATCGAATCCATTTGTTCAAAATGAAGGTTCGAGTGCGTGCCACCAACAAATAAGAAACTATGTATTTTTCCATGAAAAAAAAAAATAAAAATAAATATTAGATACATCGGTGCACATTTGTACATGACATGTACAATCGATAGCTGATTTTGGTCGATATGGTTGCCGGTTATTTTAAAAATATACTTGAGCGACAAGACATCTTATACTTACTATAAGATCGTAAATTGTACAACTATGTTTTATATTTTTAAAATATTATTGATAATAAAAAAAGTCTCTCCTTTTTTTTTGAACTCAAAACACTCGATATCAGTATATTGTACACATACATTTTACCTATACACCTGAATTAAGACATACAATTCAATAAATATAAATAAAAATGTGTTGTCAATACTGTTGTATTTCTGTTTAAAAAAAAAAAAAAAAATTTTAATGTGTCAAAATCAATCAATGATTCTATGGGAAGTCATTTATGTTTGATTCTTAAAGAAAAATTCTATTATAATTTATAAATTTAAAATAATAAGCCACTATTTATATATAAAACCCAATCATCGTGGTAGTTCTAATTCAACATTTTTATGAAAATTGTATAGATTACTACCTAGGGTTCCACCATTGTGCGACTTCCCCACCAATATTCATCTCGATATCTTCCCTAAAATATCGCATTTACTTATTGTACTATATATTTATTTATATAAATTGTTAATTTCTTGTTTAAAATAAAAAAAAATAAGATATACTTCGATGTGAATGTATAGAACATATTGTAACGAGTAATTATAACGTAACGTGTGACTTCAAGCTCACAAATCTTAATATCAAAATACCACGTATCATATAAATTATTCTATTTTATTTAAATACCTAATATACCTTATGAGTTTTGTTTAATTATAATGTAAAATAAATCTACAATTATGTATTTTTTCTTGTTTAAATGTTTTAATCCTAAATCAAATACATAACTTCATAACTACACGTTTAAATAAATATTTTATATATAGATTTAAAATAATATTATAATGAGCTTATAATTTATTAAAGAAAAGCGATTAGCTACTTACAAGCTAATTAAAATAGAACAGTAAAAATAGATGAATGAATAATAATCTAAGTTAGTTAAATAGTTTATTAGTATAATTATTACTTTAACATAATGGTGAAAAATTACAAATCTTTATGATTAATGTTTTTCGAATTAAACTTGAAATATCCAAAACTATAATATATTGTTTAAATATCTAATTCATCAAAATGTCATATTACACTTCCAAGTTTTTTGCGAAAAAAAAAATGTAACAACATAAATTAAAAAATATGAAAAGGTAAAATTTTAGCTAAAAATACAGTTATAAAAATTGCTTATACATATCAATAAGTATATAGTATATATTACATCATATATTTTTGTAATTAACATAAAGTAAATTATACTAATGAGCCTTAAAACGGTGTGAATAAGATTGTTACAAGAAGTCTGAATATTTCAAGTATTTCATTGTATATAAATAATAAAAATACATTGACATAGTAGCAAAAAGTTTTGATTAAAACTAAATAACTAAAATCGAGTACTCTAGAACAATAGTGTATTAAAACTAAAAAAAAAAAAAACATTTTAAAAAGTTTAAACTTTCAAATACTTAATAAGAAATAACTTAAAAACCAAAACATTTTTATAGTTATACGACATCTATAAAAAGCCGTTATAAAAATTTAGTGCACATTTCTAGTACCTACGGTTCTTATTTTTTGAATTATAAGAAAAACAAAATCAAATCTTAAAAGAACTATTTACTTACAATATCCAAAAATATCAGCTATATCTAATTTTCCATCAGAAATTACCTGGAATATTTGTAATTGAAGATTAGCTTAAAACGTAATAATAATACCCAATTCTGCTTAATAAACATGCGTTATAGTAAAACCAATCCATCCATCGCTTTAACTCATTAATCTTTACATAATTGTTAAAAATGTTTTTTTTTAGTTTTTCACGACTTTTAATCGCATTATCTTACTTTATATTACTTTTGAAATATTAATTTTTGTTAAGATATTTAAATAAGTTTCCCCATTAAGCAAGATTTTGAATTTAAAACAACTTTGTCAAAGGCTATTAAGATTGTGGAAAGTGAAATTTGGACGTTATATTAATTTTTTTTTATACACATTGTATAAGTATTATTTAAGTTATATTACTACTTAATAAAACTTTAAAAATTATAATATTTTTATCTTTTGTCCCAAATAAATATGACATAATACGACGAATAATATTAATTAAATAAACATTTAAATTTTCATCTTAAAATAATTTAGTGGTTCTACTATCTATTATAGTTTCAAGGTATCACGAATAATGAACATGGATTTTTATACAAACTATAGTTATTTAAAACAACAATAAAAAAAAAAAAAAAACATCGTATTATTTTTATTCGGAATCTATTTTTATATAGTCACGGCCGTACACAGTGTGATAGCACAAACAATATTTACAGACCCAAATGTAGTCATTATAGTCTACGTATGTGCATGTATCGTGAACTTTTATGAAGCGTAAAAATCATTATTAAATTGTAATTAATTCAGTTACACCAACCGTGAAATTTTTGGTAATAAAACATGAACAATGGTTTTATTTTATTGAAAAACATTACGCAGAATAATTGTATTTTTTTTATATTTACAATGATTTTCTGTTATTATTCTAATGAATTGTATTATTCAATACATCATTCGTAAACGTCATGAACCCATATACAAATATTTTGAGAGGTTACTTCAAAGGTACAATTTTAATGACTCTTTTTTTTTTTTTAATTACTTATTTTAAATGCTCGGACAATAAATTATATTATTCTTTCATATGTGTGTATATAAATGTAAATTTATCAGTTTTTCAATTTTTTATAATCAAAAGTTTCAAAAAATTCAAATTTAACTTATAATTTAGTCTTAACTATGCAAATTTATGTTTGCATATTTTATTAAACGTAGTAATGATTACAATATTGAAGTTGATACAATTAATTTTTCACTAACGAATTAACTAATATGAATCGATCATATTTTTAATACCGTTAAAAGGGTATAAAGTCTAACTTGATTAAGAACGATATACGAAAAAAAGTGTTTAACCGGATATAAAGCACAATATTATAATATTTTATAAAAAAATATGAAGTCATTGCATTGATGTACCTGATATTATGTCTATGTATAATGTCCATGTGCTCATAATATTTTGTTATTGAAACACATCAAACAAAATAATATATTATTATAAACTGTTATGGGCACTAATAATTAGCATTACATAATACAAAAAAAAAAAAAAAAATAAAAATAAAAATTATTATAATAATAATGATAACCTCATTAAGTAATTGCCAATGTCTAAATAAGAAAATATTAGTTAAGTCATATCGACGGGGCGTACTTAGTAAATAATATATCTGCATAAATTCATCAGTTGATGTTTTAATTGTTCATTTAATGATTATATTATGTGTTATAACTTATAATACAAATCATCTTCCAACTCATATATGGGTTAACAGAGTATAAAATATAAATTTATTTACATGTCGAATCCATGTAGTGAAACCCACTCATTTCATGTACTGGATATCTAGGTCGTGAAATTCGTCCAGATCGTGAATTTTGACAAAAATACATTATTATATATTATGGGCATCCATTTCATGAAATAGACAATGCCTATATATTGTGTACTTGGTGTAATAATTATTTTGAAACAATTTTTTTTGTTATTTACCAATAAATTATGTTATATTATATTTTTATTTATTTTTCAAACACCATACATATATTATATTATATTATTGTATATTATAGGTATTTTATAGACGAAAGTGTTGCCTATGAAGTATTGTTATAAAATAATAATTTTGTACGACGATTGATTATGACATACACTATAAACACCTTCAAATTCAGAAGAGTATCAGGATGTAACCCTAGCATCGATGGCTGATGACAAAGCCGAAAAATGAAGCGTTGGTTTAAATTTTGTTTAATTCCAAAAAAAAAGTTTGTTTCATCGAACAATTGTACGTATTCTTTATAAAGTTTTATTTAGAAACGACCCAAAAATTGGACTAATTACACCAAATTTATCATTTGATCTGTTGAAGAAATTAATAACGGAAAAACTTGACACACTTCTCAGATAAAGGAAATTGAAAAACGGTCAATTGCCTGCAGTATTTGTAAAGTCGAAGTGAGATTGCTATTGTCGAGGACTGATGAAAGTAATAACATTTTCTGTCAATTAAACAATTCAAGTAAAAAAAATACAAATTCAACGTGAACGTGGATACAAAATTCAGATTATAGCTGCAGAGAAAATAATCAAAGCAAATAATAGAATATGATAAAAATATTTTTTTAGATCTTAATTTATATTTTTTTTTTAAAGGGAAACCAAAAAATAGCAGACGATTTTAAAATTAATCAATACGTTGTATTCGGAGTACTGAAAGTTTGGGGGGGGACCTATAGATCCGCCAAATATAATTTGTGTGATCACGAAACAAAAACAAAAATGATTGTAAATGCTTTGAACAAAATAAAGTTTACTAAAAGAATGATTCAATAATAAATGTTTGAAAAAAAATCAACAATTCAATATATCACTAATGATCATGTTGATAATAATGTTGGATTTTTAGTGCCAAAAATTATTGAAAAAATTTCAGGAGGACAAGGATTTTTGTGTTGTTCGTGTAAGATAAAAACTCTTTACCAATCAAGTCTGAATGCATGTTTTAAAAATAACATGCATGTAAATGTAATCTATGTCATGACTCTGTGTCATAATCAATTGTCGTGAAAAAAA